TCGGCTCCAGTGTGCATCCAGGGATGGCTCTCTTCCCAAAGAGATATCCTCTTAACTTCCTCTGGCATCTCGGTGAGAAGCGTCCAATATGCCAGACCAAGCAACTCATTATGTCGCTGGTCCATCCCACGCCAGGGCTCGTAAACAACCTCCTCGACGTTTGGTAACATTCCAATTATGTATCTCAGAGCTTGTGGAGATGGGGTTCTGTGGCGTTGCAGACTGATGACAAATCGCGAGACAGCCGGGATCTTCGCGCTGCCTAGAAACTGCAGGTCGTCATTGTCGGACAGAACGAAGTCGAGGATATTTCCAAGCGTCCGTTGCGTGTGCTCACGACCATGATCCAGGCTGCGCCTGCCTAAAGACTGCAGCCTCTGCAGGTCGTCTTTGTCGGAGAGACCAAAGTCGAGGATATTTCTAACCGTCCTATGCACCAGCACAAGGCCATGGGTCAGTTGACTGAACCGGTCGAGCCGGTCTTTTCCTCGAGGTGTCATGTACTTCAAATCGTGCAAATTATTCACGTCCAAACTTTTGAGTCTGAAATTTGACCAGGCATGTAGGGTATCGCTTGGAGAACTTGCGCTCGACTCAAGCGATAGACTGCCACATCCCTACCATTCCGAGAGGGTCTTGAGGAGGTTCAGCAAATTGCTGCTAAATGCCTGATTGTTCACATGAATCGTCGTCTCATCTTCTACGACGCCGAAGTCCTCAGGCAGGTCCCTTTTCAACTCCACATGGAGATGGATTCTTTTGACGAGTCCACGTCGATGGCTGCGCATAATGTTGCAGAAGTAGGCTAATTCCTCTTCTTGAAGAAGATTGAACGAGTTGTAAAGGCAGCCTTCAAGAAAAACACCTGCCATTCTTTGCGGACCCTGGAAAGCTGGGGGAACCTTCTTCTCTTCGCATCGGTTACGGCAACCTCGTCTAGAACCGCTAGACGGATTTCTGTTGGCAGTTCACTCCATCCTGTGAATGTCGTGGTACTGGTTCTGTGCGTCTGGCACTCTGTAATCTCATTCGTATGCCCTGTCTCCTTAGAGACGCCGGCCACCTTTTCAGGAGTGGATTCAAGAACTTTTTCTGTAGTTTCCCATGAGTCGCTGCGGATGTTCATTTTGGGGGTTTTCACAGATGATGCGCTGTATAGTGTGGATGTGTTTCGTGTACCAAGCAGAAAGATTTTGCAGCTGATACTGGGTGTCAGGTTTTTGGCTACCCTTAAATATATAGGTCATGTTTTCCAAAACGTCTCACAAGGTCAATCGTTTTAACATTTACAAAGATGTGGGGCAAGCTGTATGGAATAAGAACTCTTTGATCTCGGGACAGTCAGGTTACCACCAGTCACTTGTGAACTTATCAACATGAGTCACTCTGCGGCATTCCTCGAGAGTGGTGCGAAGGACACGGAAGCGTCATCATGTACAGACTCACGGGCATGGCGTTACTGGATGAAGCCTTGCTGTAATAAGATAGCCCTGTTACATTTGTTTAGAAGCATGGTCCGGCTGATTGCATTTCTTTCCTTTGAGTAACTCATTGCATGTCTATTCTATTGGATAATGATAGCTGTTGAAGATCTTGGATACAAATGGTAGGAATTGAAGTAGACTACACCCTTACACAGGTTTGAGAGGAGACTTTTCTTCGCGCGTCCACTCTACAAGTGAATTTCCACACATGACGTGGTTTGTTCACAGTCACAGTCACAATCATCCTCGCTGACCTCGAAGTCTGAGCCCCTGTTGGAGCTGAGGTCATCAAATTCTGACATGCATTCCTCATCCGTTAGGTAAGAGTCGTTACCTATGTCCTCGGGCTCCTCTTCTATCGTGCTGGAGGTTGGTATGAGTTCATAATCAGATAGAGACTCGTCCTGTTGAGGCTCCTCTTTAGGTTCCTGTTCAGGCTCCTGTCGAGGCCCCTGTTGAATTTCATGCTGAGATTCCTTTTGACATTCCTGTTGATGTTCCTGCTCAGGTTCCTGATCAGGCTCCGGTTCAGGATCCTGTCGGGGATACTCAGGAAGAATACAAGTGACCCCAATTTCTTCAAACCGCTTTTTAGCAGCGTCAAACATGGGCTGCGCCTCAGATTTGTACGTCCCCGGCGACGGAATGTACTCGATAGAACTGACATCTACCACCCGAACGCTGGTGTAGTTTAGTTCACAGCTCTCTACCAACCTCCGAAGAATGCGTTTCCAATCACCCAAATTTTGTTGCGGCTCGTCCGCTTCTCCATCCCATATCCCTTCTGCGGGATACACGTATTCCATAGTTTCAAGAGTAGAAAAAAGGTTGGAGAGCTCCGGGCGAGCAATCTCCCCTGCGATTAGACTGTTGTACGCATTTGACTTGAGGTGTTTTAGGTTCTTCAAGCGCCCAAGGGCATTCTGGCAGATGATGTCGCGGCCAGTGCCTGTCCACACTAGCGTATGGAGGGTTTCTGCGAAAGGCTGGAAGGCGTCTTCAGGGATGTGCCCCCAGACATTCTTGCTGTTCATGATGAAGAGGCTATGCAGAGAGGGGAATTTCTGGAAGACTCTCTTGATTGAATTACCATTATTGGCGGAGTGTCCCAGCACCGAGCATTCGTTGAAATGGACCTCCTTAACCTGCCGTAGGTAAGGAAGCTCGCATTCCATGTATTGAAAGCCTCTGAGAAACAGGTGGGTTAGCGCTGGTAGCTTTGGCAGCAGTTGATACCACTCCCAACGCTGGCTTGGGTCGTGACAGATGTCAATTTCGAGACGGCGTAAGTTGCTCAAGCCCCGGAGCTCATCATAGAGCATATTTCTGATGCCCCATTTCCATTCAAAGGTGTCATGAATTTGCTTTCCTTCCGGACGGCGGTTGTACCTTACAGAAAGCCTTTTGACCAGGGGCTGCAAGGCCTCTCCACTCCGGGCAAGGGTGTCCAAGGCGTTCCATATTCTTTCGTATGGAGCGTCTAGAAGAACCACGCTGCGGTAGATTTCCCTATCACAGATCTCTGATATTCTGGAGCTCGTCCTCGCAAAGTTGAGCAGGTCGTTGTCAACATTGTAGGAGAGCCATTTTGGGACAACATGGGCCGCGCAGAATGTCTCCAAAGGGTTGGAAAAGCCGACATATCGAGCAACTGACCAGTATGTCTCTGTTTCATCGCCGCCCTTTTGTAGCGCGTACCGAGCTTTGATGTCGGAGGTTGGGTCGGGAAAGGTGATCCATTTTGGAATGAGGTAGCTAACGATCAACGCCAGTATCTCAGTTGGGAGCGTGGCCAAGGTCGATTTAAATCTCTTTGAGAGGGCTGTTGTAAACGTAAAATCATTTGATAAGGGGATTGTTTTTGGGTTGAATTCCAATCCTGGAGGATATCGCAGGTTTGCCGGGCTTTCGGCGCAGTTGGGGCAACACATGGCTTCCGCGTTTCGTCTTAGTTGGTCTTTGAAATGGACGGAGAAGATTATCTAGGACTTTCGGAGATGTGTAAGGAGAAGTCATCACAGCATGTCTGCTAAGTTTGCTTCTATCTATATACGTGGGTCCATACCATTACCGAACACCTGTATGCTGGTATGTGGCCTCAGACTCGGTGTGCAAGGGTGTTTTAGGTGAGCAATCCATGAAAATTCAGCATCTCAACACTCGGTTCTGTAGGTAGGGAAATATTTCCGTTCCAGAACGTCTGGATGATTCAAATAGAGAGGGTCTGCAAGTAGACCGAGGTTGTATTACACGCATGTTGTATGATAAGCTTGTGCATTTGATCACGTAGCAGGCCAGAGGCGAACTTGTTTCTCTATTACAAGGCGAGGCTTTGTTTCCAGAAGCGTCCTGCTGCTGTTGAATACAAAAGGTTTGGAATGCTAGCAATGTAATGATCATTACCCGGACGGTTGGTTGACCCGTGACTGTTGAAAAGTTTACAAGAGTCAGGATGTGCATAGGAATATGACGAATACGAAAGAGAATTTCAAGTGATCCGCCATTTGCGGTTCAAGTTTCCTAAGACCATTAAAAGGACCTTGGCAACTTACGTTAAGAGGAGTTCAAGCTAGGACTGAGTGTGGCGGTTCCAGCTCAGCAAGTGAGTGTGGCGGTTCAGGAACCACTCCAGGTTGCAAATGCCAACAACAACAAACATCAAGCCTTATCTGAAAGGCATCCAACGTGTCGGTATTTAGTAGCCATCTTCGACCCCCCAACACAACCTCAACGACACCAGCCGAGTGACAAGCAGAGTACGTGCGTTGCCACGCCGGTCGGCCACGTGCCGCGCGGCTGACGCCGTTGTCTTCCGCTGATCCATCCGACCAAGGCGCGGGTTCGACTCTGTGATGTTCAGAGTTTTTTTGCTAATAGGAAAGTATAGAATTTCTATACTACTTTCCTCAACCAGTAGAGGGTATAAACCAGAGTGCCCGTATGATGTTTTCCGCATTATGGTCCCGCGGTCATATCTCGGAACCTCAAATCGGAGAGGGCGGGCTCCGGAGGACGCACCAGCATGTACGCCATACGGGGCACGTCTACCAATTCAGGGGTTCTCGGGAGCGAACCTTGCGGAGAAGGTTAATTGCAAGCAAGGCAATGTCCCTCAATGAACGGAACATTGTGTGGGGGGTCCGCCGTAACGACCAGCCAAACTAAGAAGACATCTCGTACATTATCAGACAAAGGACTGCATCAAAGGTCTACTCCTCACCTCATATTATTCCCCCTCCAATTTCTACTCTATCATGACAGCAGACGGGGGTTTGTTTGTTGATTTCCAGGGGGGAGTGGAAAGATAAAAGCTGTTATAATAATAAAACAAGAAAAAAAAGGAAATACTTCCTCGTCAATAATGCCCGTCGCATCCAATGTGAAATGCTATTGAACCCCTCGCCCCGAGAACGCCAATGGAAAAGGAACAGCCCCCCCAACCCAGAGCGGCAACATTTCATTTCACAGTTCTAGTAGTCTCTCATCCTCATCCGTCATCCCCATCGCGAGTTCAGATCAACCCCTTCCGACGCCGTACTTGTCCAGCCTCTTACACGACGGCATCTCGTACTCGTCCGCCTTGCGCATCTTGTCCGGGTCCTGGAAGAACCACCCGCTCGCGGCGTCGTACATGCGCCGCTTCGCCATCATCTCGTTCTCGCACTCGTACCGCAGCGTGCGCACCAAGGAAATCTCCGCCGTGCGGTCCAGCTTCTCCAGCTTGCCCTTGGTGTACGACTCCACCTCGGCCGGGTTGACGAAGTAGCTCGCGCCCAGGTTCGGCGTCTTGCGCTGCAGCGTGTACGCGCCCTTGGGGTTGTCGTACACAATGTTGGGCGTCGACGGCGTCGAGCCCCCGCTGAAGAGCGACGAGATGAGCGGGAACACGAAGAGCAGCAGGATCGGCAGCAGGCCCATGAGCGTCGACATGCCGCCGCCCTCCTGCTCCGTGGCTTCGCGCGGTCTCCTCCGCGGCCGCGCGCCGCCGAACTGGTGCACCCGGAACCCTGGCCCGCCGCCAAAGTTGAAGACGAACTGCGGCCCCGTGTCGAAGCCTGCGTTTTGTCAATTAGCCATTGTCTCTGCATCTCGCACACTGAAAATTCTCACCTCCACCAAACGGCCCTCCTCCAAACCCGCCCCCAAAGAACCGCTGAAACATCTCCTCGGGCGTCATCTCCTCCATCCCGCCGCCGCCTCCTCCCCCGCCGCCTCCCCCGCCGCCCCTCTGCCGCTGCGCGAACCCGCTGAACGGGTTCTGCGCCTGCGCCTGCCCGAAGCGCGAGTCCGGGTCGGTGCCGAAGCGGTCGAACTTCTCCCTCTTCTCCTTGTCGCCCAGCACGCTGAAGGCGCGGCTGACCATCTTGAAGGCCTCGTCGGCGTGCTCGTGGCCGTTCTTGTCCGGGTGCGTCAGCAGGCTCTGCTTGCGGTACGCCTTCTTGATCTCGCCGTCCGAGCACGTCGTCTTGACGTCCTCGAGCCCGAGGATGTCGTAGAAGGCCGTCGGCGAGCACTTGCGGATCCGCAGCACCGCCGCCTTCTGCTCCACCGTGTAGCTGCGGCCCTGGTTGCCCTGGTTGTGCTCGCGGTTGCGGGCGGCGTTGCCGCCCGTGTCGGCCCCCGAGGCTGTTGCGCTCGGCATCGTGGCCGTGTGCGGTGGGTGTTGTTGTTTTGTTTTTGCGGGTGGTGGTGCTGTTGCTGGGTCGATGCTTCACCGATTATTCAGGTCCGGATTCGAGTGCACGAAAACAACAGCGTCGTCGAGGTAGTTCCGTGCGATCGTCGCGAGGGTTGTATGTGACGTCGTCGAGGGGTGCTGCGCGCGCAGTGTCGTCGGCTGATGCGATGATGATTGGTGGTTTTTGCGGCCTATCTGGCAAGATGGGCGTGGATTTTGGCCTTGGACAAGGCTGCGTGGGAGCTCCGGAACGGTTCCCCGCATCAGCTACGGCCAGGTTTACGCAGAAGAAAATGCACGCAAAAGCCCGCGTGATCGATGCTTCGTGTTGTGAATTAGGAGCGGCTTCCTAGGGATGGGTATCTAGGATTTCGTCGAGGAGGATTGTGTCGACCGTTGTCTCGCGGGAGCAAAAAAGACGTGGACCGTCCTACCGGAGAAAGGAACAAGACACTCTGCAACAACAGGCCCCCAGTCGCAGTCCAGGCCACTCGCAACGTCGAAGTTGAAAGAAACCACGGCCCAGCTGATTGGGTGCGGCTCAAGCTTAGTCAACTGTGCGCAGGGACCATCTCTTATCGATAACCCACGTCACTTTTTTGGGTGTGGGGAGCAATTGGTAGCTCTAAGGTATGAATTGGTTGGGGGTCTAGCATCACCACCACCACCATCATCATCGACACTCACTCTTCACCTCCAAGTGCCTCGTCGGGACGGAGACCAACCCTCCGCAGAAACCACCACAATGGCCTCCGACAGCAGCACCACCCCAGCAGCCGAGCAGGCCAAAAACACGCTCCTGCAAAACGTCCACGAGTACGGCAGTACGCAGCCACCCCTCCTCCCGCACCACTTTTACTCGCTCAACTAACACCAAACACCACAGCAAACCCCCTCCCGCCCGCAATCCACGCCATCCTCATCGCCGCGCTGCACGGCCGCCCCCTCAAGCTGCTCCCCTTCTCCTTCGCGCCCGCCCTGCTCTTCAGCAGCTACGTCAACCTCGCCGGCTTCCCCACCGACAGCGCCGGCTTCACCTGCGCCCTCTCCGGCCTCTACGCGCTCCTCGCCCTGCGCCGCCGCCAGCCGCTGCGCGCAAAGTTCACGGCCCGCGGCGCCGTGCGCGGCGTCGCCATCGGCATGGGCTTCGCAAACTCGGCCGCCGCCGCGTGGGTCTACGCCAGCGGGGACCGGAAGAAGGACGAGGCCGAGAGGAAGGCGAGGAACCGCTGGGGGGGAGACTCATGAGGGGAAGCTATTGTTGATGAAGGCTAGAAAGAGTGCATGGACGAGTAAGAGTTGGGCGCGGCCTTGTCGACGATGCTTGGCCTGCTTGGGATTCCGTTTCTCCTCGGATTTGTGCCTGGTCTTGGCCGCGCCTCGAGCTGACACGACCCAAGATGCCAAGCCCAGTTTGAGCGGGTTTAGCGGCAGTAGGGAGTTGATGTACGACTACAGACGATGTCTATCAGACATTGGGAGACGTCGAGTCATGGGGCGAAACGTCGACATGCGAAACGGCGTCTGGGGGACGGAGGGATCGACGTGGGAAATGCTCCGACAAGCTCCAAACCATGGGGCCTGGAGACCGGAAATAACATAAAGAGCCCCCTTTGCAAGAGGGCATTTGTACCAGCATAATCTGTAAAACACCAATGTAATAACACACGCCAATCATCACATGAGAGCCAAACATATCTGCGGAGAAGAGTCTTTTGCTCTTGCTAATCGGTTGCCCACCACCCTACTGTAGCTGTTGTACAACGCAGGAGAAAGGAAAAATCTGTCCTTGACTGAATGCCAGTTCTGGTGAAGCCTCCCCGTTCTTCCACGAGTGTCAAAAGTGTAACGCCAAAAGGAGACATCTCAGCTCTTGATGAGTCCCCGTATTCTGTCTATCCGCACAAAGGAAATGAAAATGCAGCCGCCATTCCCAGGCCCGGGCAGCCTATAGCTGTGCCTCGAGGCAGATATGAACGTCCCAAACTTTTTTGTCTTTTTCGGTTTCCCTGATGTCTTTTCTGGTCCCAATTTTCCCCGGTTACGTCGACCGATTTTCCTGTCGATCAAGTCTGTGTCTCGGCAGTGTCTTGGACTGCAGAACTCTCCTTTCTTCCACTCGCCTATTCTTTCTCTCTTGTCTTTGTTGTTGCAAAAGGGGTATTGTTGCCCAGCAATGAGGCCTCGGGTTTCTCCCGGAGATACTGCCCGCGCTCCACCGAATCCAGACTTCGGCAAACATCCGCCCAACGCCAAGAATTATGCAAGGGCCCGAGAGGTGCGACAAGGCGTCTTGTCACCTCACGTCTTTGACACGCCTGGCCGTGTTTGTCATTCTATGTCCAGACAGCAGCCAGACAAAGACAACAAAAAGACTGAAGAGGGTGACCCGCGCGAAATGGCGTATGCGAAACCTCATGTTTGCCTCGTGGACGAACAGATTGGAGAGATCTGATAGGTCAAAGTCTGTGAGGTACTTGATGTCGTTCTCCCTGACCTTGGGCTCGGCGTATGTTCGGTACTCATCCACAATGTTGGTCAGCTCCCAACCGGTCACCTTGCGGACCACGCCAACCACACAACCAGTGCGATGCTGAACCCCTGTTAGTGCCTGTGCCAGGATGGTGGTGAAGTGTGAGAATTACCTTGCCGTGGTTGCAGTGAATGAGAACCGGGTGGTTCTCGCGGTTGAGCACCAATCTCAGAATGGCCTTCATTGTGCGGAGGGGGATGGCCTCCTTCTTTGTGCCCTTCATGTTGATGACATGGTGTCGGATGCCATTGCTGGACATGAAATTTGTGTAAGGCTCATCAACATCGTCCTTCTGAACCAGGGTGCTATTTGAATGTCAGCCGGGTCCAGGTAGTCATCAGGGGGTTTAATGAGATATGACTTACACAATCGACTTCAATCCGAGGTTGCGGATGAAGCCAAAGTCCTCGGGCTTAGGGTAACTGCTCCGGTAAACTCCCGGGACAACCACTCCAAAATTGATGGGTCGGCCGTCGATGGGCAGGACTCGCTCAATGCCCGGAGATATCGGGGCCACTAGGGGCGCTTGGAGCTGGTCCGCGACCTTGAGCAGTCCGTCGTCCCGCCGCACGGCACCCTTCTCGCCGCCACTCGCGGCCTTCAACAGTTCTTCCTCCACTGACAGGATGACTTGCTTCTGTACGTACACGTCCATCGTGGCGTCGAGGGTTGCAACGGATTCGCGCGATGCTTGTCGCGAGGGTCCCTTTGCTTGGTATTTTTCGGCGAGCTCGACGGGGATTACGTCGTCTTGCTTGGAGATGCGTCGCACGGGCCTGTAGGTTGGGTCTTCTTCGGGGTGGCCGCCTGCGTCCTCGAGATACATTCTCGTGCTTCGTTTCGAGACCATTTCACCAGCCATATGTGACTGTAGGGTGACTGATGCGTCGTAGAGGGGTTCGTATTTTGGAGACTTGCTCGCGTGACTTGTTAAGGATCGCGGGAGTAGGTATGGCGGGGCTCGATTTGTCGACTTGATTTCAGGGTCGGAATAGGGTAGAATAGGGTAGGTGGTCGTGTGAGCGGATTGGTAGAGCGGTTGGTTTGGTGGAGGATTGCAGTTGCGAATGTTAAAAGGCGTGTGTAATCGATAGGTCGGCGTTTCCTCTCGGGGGGAAAGACAGACAAGAGGCGTGTTGAAGAGATTCCCCTTTGCGTAGGCTTAAAGGATACAGGCGAAGACCTGACGGGCGGCAAGTTGGAGGTCCATCTTGTCGAGAGCGAAGGGTGCAGTTGGGTGTGGTCTTTTGGTGTCGCAAGGCACGCGGGCGAGAGTGGTGTTGCTCTTGTCTTTTTCGCAGGGCCCCTCGGTGACGGACTGGGTTGACGAGCGGGGATGTATTGTTATTTCTGCTCTCTCTCGGTACTGGTTCAGGGAGACAGAGAGGTAAGGTAGGTTTGGGGGAAAATGAGAAAAGTGAACCCCGGAGGAAAAGCGCGGGAGGAGCGGGTTAGTAAATGAGCATCGTAATGGAGTGAGGAGCGTGGATGGTGAGGCGGGACGTGGGCGGAGGAGGCACTGGACGCCGCCGTGGAAGTATTTCTTCGCGGCAGACGCAGTGAAGAAGTACAAAGGTACCTGGCGTAGCTAAGGTACCGGGGGGGCTCTGTCTGGCTGCACCCTGTGGCCGTACCTTGTGCTTGGTGCGTGGTGCTTGGCGAAGAGGAAGTGAATTGGGGAGATCAGCCTGGGGGCGTCTCAGGTTCAAGGCCCAGGTATTGGCTGGATTCTGGCACGGTAGGTACGCCGCCGGCCGCGAGGAAAGACGGGCTGCGACCTGGTGGGAGAGGGGAGAGGGGAGCGGAGAGGGCAGGACAGGACAGGACTCAGGAGGAATGCTGAAATCTGTCACTCACACACTGCCCTGGCTGGGGAGGATGGGACGGGGAGGGGTGGGGTGGTGGCATCACAAATTTGGGGAATGCCACAGTGAGGGTGCTGGAGAACCTGGGCAGCCAAGGCAGTCCAGCGGGAGGCACCTGGAGACGTGAGACCTGCTCCGAGAGGAGACTTCCCTGAGACCTCAATGCCTGTGGATGACTGAGGAGAGGGGAGGGGGACGGAAGCGAATAAAGCCCCGGGCGGCCACTGGCGGACTCCCCTGGGGCCTGGCCTGCGGGCTGGACTGGACCGCTGCAGGGCCGACTGCAGGACCGCTGCTGGACAGTGGGCTCAGGTCGTCCCAGGGCTGTCGGGCCCAGCCCCGATGCGGTTACGAGGCGACGCGGGACATGACGACCCCAGGTACTGCTTTGCGGAGAGACACATATAAAGGATACATTGGGGCTGCTGAGGGCCATCATTACCGACGGTCGACCTGAGGACTCAAAGCGACCTGCTGTGGGGGTGACGCCGACGGCCAATGGTCTCGGTACGTACCATTCGCCAGCCGCAGGGTGCGCCCCCTAAACCACAAACAAACAAGGTGCG